AAAAAAAAAAAAAAAAAAAAATTTATAATTGGGGAAGCTGCCCATTAGCTCAGGTGTTTAAGTGCCTGCTGAAACAAAGCAGTCAGGCTCAGGATGCTGTGATTCGATCCCCTCATTTTCAAGCCAAATCAGACCTGCCCTGAAGGCATCCTGAGCAGCCCCACCCCCCAAAAAAAATAGAATATCAGATATTTTGCAACTCTGATAAGCTACTTGATGTCATTCTGATTTAAAGGATGAGTATGTCAAATGAAAGAAGAGGACTTGATAAGACACTGGCAAGTTTTATCTCTGGGGACAGGGATTTGAGAAAATACTGCTCAATGGATATAAAATTTCAGTTAGGAAGAATAAGTTCAACAGACAACTGCATAAGGTCTAGAACATACTGTATTTTCAAAATGAATGAGATTTTAAGTGTTCTCACCAAAAAAAAATACTATGTAAGGTAATATGTAAATTCATTAGCTTAAGTCATTCTATAATAAATTTTATCTTCATAGTATGTATATACATCCATACCCACTCTCCAAATTGATTTCATTTCATAAATTGAGAATTATAAATCATTTCATCATCAACTAATACAAAGTATACAGAGAAATCAAACATCTAAGTATATAAACTTTACTAAAAATGTCAAACATACATGACCAAAAAAACCCTCTACTGTGTTATTAAAGCTCTGTAACACTACAAAAGAAATTTTGAAAATTCTTTAAGTTACTGAAATTGTCTCAAGTACAAACTGCTATAAACTTTGTAACAAATTAGAATTCTGTGTCAGTTCGAGTCATATAAATGAACAAATCCCAAAAGTACTAAAATGTACTTGAAATTCTGTATCACCTGTAATTTTTGGTTTTAATTCTAATTTATACTTTTTTAAAAGTTTAAAAGAATAAGAAAATAATATGCACTACACCACAGAAATATCAAGAATGAAATGAACTATCAAAAACAACATGGGGTTAAGGTTTTTCTTTTAATATTCAATATTCTTAATGCTAATGAATAGTTTTCCTACATACAGTGTTCCTATGGTGCCCAACACTTTCCTTTAAATTATCTATTTAAATCATCCCAAAAAAGCTTTAAAGTGATCAAAAAATAAAACTAAACTGTGTATGTATCAAAAGCATAACTGTACAGATCACACTGTAAATAATTTTTACTATAAATTTAATTGGATTTTAACATATTAACAAACAGAAATGATGAACAACTATTCTTATAACTTCTGATAAGTATGGTAACTATACTGGTAACCAAGGACTTTGACACAATTTTCCTTGAAGATGAGGGTACAGCTTCTTTACCATTAATGTTGCATGTCTTCAAGATGGAAAGAAAATTATGTTAAAAATGGATGAATTTTATACAAGCAGAATAACTTTGAAAGAATGTAAATTACCTGAAATAGACCTATTTTTAAAAAATACATATTAAACTGATAAGGTTATGTCAACATTTTAAAATATCATACACTTCTGTGTTTTGGTGGGAATAAGTAAAAAAATACAAGTATAAAGTATTTTCTAACTAGCTAGCTTTGAAAAAATTCTTCCGCTATTCTCCCTGAAACATTAAACACTCTAGCAGATAATTATAATAGCCTCCCCTCAAAAGTCACCCTTCTCTGGATCCTTATCACTTTGCAATCTGATACATTTTTCTTCCAATTCTCTTGAGAAAAAGTTTTACCAGGACATCTAGTAACTATGTTCTTCTCTTTTACCATTTGAAAATAACTAAATTTTAATATATCAAAATTAATCTGCAAGGCCAGCCAAATAGCTCAGCAGATTAAAGTGCTCGCTGGCAGGCACAGGGACCTGCAGTGCTGGTGCCAACCTAAGGGCACACCAAGACTGCAATTGAGACTGGGCATGGTGGCTCATGCCTATAATCCCAGCTCTTGGGAGGATATAAATAGGAGAATCACTATGAGACCAATCTACATAGTGAGACCCTGAACACCTTATAGACCCTTCCCTAAAAAATACAAAAAGAAGAAAAAGAAATTAGTCTGCAAACAATTTAAAACTATCATTAAAATTCACCTCTTCTTTACAACTACACAAGTAGTCAAGACATTTCAAACAATAAACTATAATCCATGAAACAAGAGTCAGGGGTTCTATTTAAGAAGTCCTTTAATATGTTAGTACTTTACCTAAAGTTGAATAGTGGTCTTTTTTAGAATTTATCCATGAATGACTTGATAAAACAGAATTTGATTAAGTATGTGATGTTTCTCCTTAGACCATAGATTTATTGCTTTTAAAAACAGTGATTACTCAACTTTTGAGCTGAGTATCCATACAGAAAAGCATTACTTATTTTAAAAAACTGCAGCTGGGCAAAGCTTCTAATAATTCACTTCACCTAACTACAGGTAAACTAATAAAGATTTTTCTCTTTGTATCAAGATAAATACATAAAAAAAGATAGATACATAATTTAACTAGAAGGAAGTAACTAAAAACATGTTAAACCCTCTTTATGAAACATTATGCCTCAGATAAATGTTTCCTCCAAACAAATCATGAGTCTTTTAAAGCATGCGTGTTAGACTGGTTTTTTTCACACTGCTTGTAAAAGTCATCATTATTAATGATACATTAAATCCTCAAACTTATTAAAAACATCAAGATACTAATTCAAAATCATGAAACAAAAATATTTAGTAAATGTATTTTGATCTTTAATTATATTGCAATAGTGATTAAATATTACATTTTATTTAAATCATAAAATGAAGTACTAATTCTGTGAAAAGACTGTAAGAAAAAAATGTGTTGTTCTCAAAGTGAGATAGGTATTTAAGAAACAAGAAAAAGCACTTTTCATACCTTAAGATAACAGTGTACGTAGCAATAATGAAGCAGGTTATCAGAAGGCTGATTAAGGCTGCTGACCACATGCACCAACTGTTCAGCATACATTGGGACAGAATGTTCCAGATTAATTTTATCCACCAATATCTGAATGGATGGCAAAGGCCGAAGATATTGGAAATTTGTAGTATTCGTGAAGTTACTTGAATTCTGGAAAATAATAATGGTTGATTTTATATGTGAAGAGTATAGCCATGTCTGATATATAATCACCTATAGATAAGATTTTGACTTGCATACCTTGCAGTGACATTCTATCAAGGTAGAAGCCATAACTATCAATACAGTTCTTACTATAAACAAACATCAATATGTTCTATAAATTTCAAAGAATGCGTATTTTTATAAAACTACCTTTTCCTCTTAGCTAATGCTTTTCATTTCTTCAGTCAACTGAAACAATATGACTATATGTCTCAGTATGATTAAACTAGAACTTTCATCATTGTATTATATCCAACAATATGTTTAAATTTATTAACAATTTATAACAGTCACAGACACATTACCACTAATCTCTCTCAAAATATTCCCTTCAGGGGCTGGAGAGATGGCTCAGTGGTCTAAAGCACCTACTTGAAACAGGCTTGGCAGAGCACAGGGACCGCGGTTCGATCCCCAGCACCACATGCCAGCCAGACCCGCCCCCTGGTGGGCTGAGCTGGCCACACACACACACAATAAATAAATGTAATAAATAAATATTAAAAAAAAAAAAATTTTCCCTTCACTTTGAATGCACTTGTCTCATCATTCTTGGCACTTTTTAAAACAATTTATGCCTTCAGTTGCATTGTCATGACTGTCTTGATGTCTTTTGCATTTGACTCTTTACTGCAGATGTTATTAATTCAGGGATTTCTTTTTTTTATTTCCAATCTGAGTTCCTCTATACCTTTCTGCAGCTGTTTATTTCAGAAGCCGTTGATTCTTTGCTTTCAGCTGTGTGATTCCCAATTTGTTCTGTGTTAGTGTCCTCTGCCCTTTTTATGGGTGGGCTTGGGTTCTAAGATTGCTTTTTGTTCTTCTTGTCATTTTGTGTAGCACTGTCTTCTGACCTTTGTTGATCTTTGTTGCAGTTACAACCTTAGCACCTACTGAAGTTCAGGTGCAGATCTGCAAAGTTTGGATTTATTCAGCAGTGCCTGGCTTGGGTCTGGCTGCTGTGCTCAGCTCTTTCCTGTTGCTGCCCTTGAGGGTGAACCTGTTGTGCCCCTCTGGCAAGATGTTCTGCTCTTGGACTAGCTGGGTGGTTCTCCCCTACACTCTCTGCAGGGATTGCAGCTGCAGGGTTTCACCCAGGCCTGTGTGCCAGGCCTGAGCTAAGTCTGGAGGGGATAAGATGGAGTAGGGGGGAGAGGCAGCTCTCCCACACACTCACTGGGCCTGGTCTAGGACTGGATCTGGGGGTTCCCGGAACACAGCAGAAATTCCTACTAGGCGGGCGGGGGCGGGGGGTACTACGGAGTCATGGGGGGCGTCCCAAGGGGGTGGAAGAGGGTCTCACCCACGCTGCGCCTGGGCTGGGACCAGTAGGTCCCGCTGGCACAGGGTAGCCGGAAGCTCTCCCACACACTCACTGGGCCTGGGCTAGGACTGGGTCTGGGGGTTCCCGGAATGCAGCAGAAATTCCTACTCAGCAGGCGGGGTGGGGGAGGTGCTGCGGAGTGGTGGAGGGCGTCCCAAGGGGGTGGAAGAGGGTCTCACCCATGCTGCGCCTGGACTGGGACCAGTAGGTCCCACCGGTGCAGGGTAGCAGGAAGTTCTCCCACACACTCACCGGGCCTGGGCTAGGACTGGGTCTTGAGCCTTCCATTCCTTACATGATACAGAATGGCAGCATTCCACATTTTTTATCAAACCTCTCAAAGACATTTATGAAAGAGCACCTCCATAACTGCTCTAGAAAGTGGCAAGAACAATCACAAAAGTGTGTTTGAAGTGAAAGAGAGTATTCGAGGGTGATAAATGGCAATGTGTATTTTACAGTAATAATTTTGTACTTAAGCAATAACCATCCTTTTTGATCATCCCTTGTATTTTCTTAAGCCTGATGATTCCAAAATAATTTCTAGATATCCAGAAGTCAGCAAGCTTTTATTTTTCTTTCCCTTTATTCATATTTAGATAATTAAGTGAACTACAAGACACACAAAAGACAGTTACAATAAGCAAAGTATTCTGGAAGGAAAAAAAAAGTCTGATTAAAACTATATTTACTAATAATATACAAAGTACTAAGAATCTTGAAGAGGGCTTGTTAGGGTCTGCAGAACCTTTATGAATTTCCAAATAAATATAGCTAAGTTTTAAAGTTTTAAGGTATCCACAGTATGTCCCTAATTGATAAATAACCTACCTTCTGATCCCAGAACTAACTTCCTTAAATGCCCTGTGAATCTCATATTGCTTTCCATGTAGAGGAATGTGAAAATATGTAAGAAGAGTAGTTCCTCTGTTTTGTTTGACTTCACTGTCACAATAATATTGCCTTTGTGCAGGCATTTCCCAAAGATGGTAAATGCTACATAATACTTTCCCACTCAATAGAAATCCAAGTATAATTTCTGAGAAACAACATAGTAAACCTAGTTAGCTAAAATGAGCATACAATCTTGTTTGTTCATTATTATAAATTAAATCACTATTTAATTGGTAATTGCTTTGTTTTTTAAAGTAGCTTTTGTTGGATGAACAAGAAAAAAACGTGAAGAAATCTGAAGTGTGGAGCTCAATGAATTCATATTCTGTTAACTATCACCCACTTAAAGCACCCTGGAAGTCTATCCAATGTTCCTTTTTTAGGAAATACAAAATGCCCACCAGAGATAGCCAATGTTATCATTTCAGTCACCATAGGCAGTTTATAGTCTCTTCTTGAACATCATGTAGAATTACAAAGCACTTTTTCATTCATAATATCTATGGAAATTATACTGTTTTGGGTTTTGGGGTTTGTTTGTTTTTTTGGGTTTTTTTGTTTGTTTGTATGTAGGACAGGGTAAACAGGGTCTCACTGGGTAGATCGGACTCATAGTGATCCTCCTGTTTACAGCCTCCCAAGTGCTGGGATTACAGGCGCTATACTGTTACTTTTTGATTTGACATTTTTATCATTATACAATGATCCTTATCTCTGACAATAATCCATACCCTCAATTTACTTTAGGCATTGAAACAGACCTACTACATTCTTTTGGTTAGCATTTAAAACATAAGATTTTTTCACCTTTTTACTTTTCACCTGTGCCCTTAGACTTTTGAGTTACAAAATTTAATTATGTTGTAATAGTTCAGGTGTCTTTTGAAATCTTCCACTTTTGTATCTTTTTCCTTGCAGTAAAAGTCACTTAAACTCCATGAGTCAGAGCCCCAGCATCTTTTTGTGTGTATGTATGTACAAGTATATGTTGTTGGGGGTTGAAGCCAGGGCCTCATGCACACTAGGCAAGTTTTAAACAAGTAATCTATAGCCCCAGCTGATCAATATCTCATTACATCTACTAATATTTTTAATTGTCTTCTTTAAACTCAATTTAATTTGTTCTATTTTTTAGTATACCTCAATTTTTATTCAGTATCTGACATGGATAAGCAATAATAAAAGATTTTTATATTATCTTCATCCAAAGTGAATTACCTATTCTTTAGCAAATAGAATACAAACAGATCATCTTGGTTCTCTTCAGGACTAGAATTAGGAGTAATCTTACTTCAATTTTTACTTACTGAGAGGGTATGGCCCTTATAAGGTCTCTAAAAAAAGCAACAAGTATTTACTTGACAAAAAAAAACTGAATTCTTAATTATTGATACCCCACATAACAAAGAGAGTAAATTTTCTGCATTAGTCTTTTACCTCTTTTTTTTTTTTAACCTCTTTTTGCTGCTAGGTTTCATTTCCTAAAATGTTGCACTGTACATGAGAAGTTAAGAGGTTAAAAAGCAACCTAAAGGGATTCTTGTTTTTACTGCAACCTGAAGGGATTCTTGTTTTTAGTACTGTGAAAAAATAGAATCATAGAAGATGCTCAACGAACACAACAAAAGGGATAGGGTATAGCTCAGCAGTGCAGCATCTGCCTAGCAAAAAAACAGAACTAGTTTAAAACACAGCAAACCTCAAACCAAAGAAAATTATCAGGTGTTAAATGAGGAAAATATATATGTACTAAAGACAGACCCTCAAAATATATAAAGCCAAAACCAATAAAAAGGCAAAAAAATGATGTGTCACTACAATTAACAAAAGAACATACAGATCAAAAAAGCCGAGATAATAAATTTAAAATGCCTTGAATTAAATGAAAATGAAAGCAGAAGCAGTAACAAAATTTAAAACAGAAATAAATATAAATAAAAAAGAAAATAATAGAAAAAACTAACAATATCAAAAACTTTGATTTTTTTTTTTTTTTTTAAATCAGTAAGCTTCTAGCCAGGCTGCAAAACAAAACCAAAGAGAAGGGACACAAATTACTAACATCACATCAAAGAGAAATTTCATTACAAAACCATGGGCAATAAATTGATAATAAAAGAATACTATAAACAATTCTATGCCTTTAAATTTGATAACAGAGATGAAACAAGCCAATTTAAAAAAAAAAAAAAAAACCACTAGCTGATAACCCAGGTCATGGCTCTTTCATTATTAATTAGAAATGTAAAATCATACAGTCACATAGAACACAATTTGGCAGTTTCTTAGAAAACTAAACATACTCTTCCCATGCAACCCAGTAACTGTGTTAGTTTGTATTTACTCCAAGTAATTGAGAGCTGCAGAAAATACTGCAAACAGATGTGTAATAGTAGCTTTATTCATAACTGCCAAAACTTTAAAGTAACCAATATATATCATTCAGTAGACAAATGGACAAATATACTGTGATAATTAATATATAATGGAATATTGTTCAGTACTTAAATGAGATTTAATTCCATGAAAAGAACTGAGGGGTATCTGAAAGTATAGTATAGAAAGAAGCTAGTCTGAAGAGGCCATGTACTAGAAGATTCTAAATATATAACATTCTAGGAAAGGCAAAACAGTAAAAATACCAGGAGTTGCCAGTAGTTGGAGTGAGACATAAAAAAGAGAAGCATTACAGGAGTTTTCTGCACAATACTATTACAGGAGATGTATGCATTATACACGGCAAAACCAATACAATGTAAAAACATTTAAAGTGAATTATAACAGAAACTAGGGACTCTGATATACTGATAAGATTCCGGCAATTATAACAAGTTTCCCACTCTGATGAGGGAGATTGATAAGCAATACATATGTACAGGCAAAAAGTATATACGAAATCACTATACTTCTTGCTCAATTTTTGACATGAACCTAAATTATTTTAAAAATACCGTATAGTCCCAGTGACTACATTTGTTGTAAACTTACTGATTGAACACAGTTTTGTCCCACATCACACCCATCCTATGATTTGCCATTGGATCAATATTACCTAAGTGACTATACCTACAATCTTATTGACCAGTTATATTGCTCTATCCCACCTTAAGCCTGCATCACCTCACAGCTTTGCTCAGTCACATGCTAGAAAAATAGGATTGGTAGGGAACCCAGTTTCTGGGCCCCCTTCTGTCACTCTTACGAAGAAACTTTCCTTCTCTCAATAAATTCTTCCTACTCTTAAAAAATACATAAAAAATTAAAAACACTGTAAAACCTATTTAAAAGTAACAAAATTAGAAATGACACCAAATACTGATGTTTCGATTTTTTTCAAGATGATGTCAAAATCCTAAAACAATTCTTAATGATGAGTGGTCAACAGGGAGCAAATATACAAAATAAAACTAATGTCTCATCATCAATGCTCTGCCATTCATTTTAAAGTTAGCACATTTTTTATTTCTATAAACATCTTCATTATATGGACATCCAAAGAAACATGAATAGAACGTATGTATTTAAATCAAATTCAAAAAGTAACATATTATACATGGACTTTAATAAGTCCTCATTAACAGTAACAGCAATATTAATGGGTTCTTAAAATAGGCAAAATTATTTATATGCATTGTCTCAATCAATATTCAAAATGATCCTAAAGAAACTACAGCATACTGACAATCTCACACAAATATATGTCACAAGGTGAGGCTCAACCACATTAAACCTGAGTCTAGGTAGAAAACTTCATTCATTTCCCATGATGTGTAAAGTTGTCATGAGACATTTTCTCATCAACTCTCTTCGTTCAAATGAGATGTAGGGCTTCCCACCGACCTCCTACCCTTAGAATATAGCTGAAGGCTATCCAATTGCTCAGCCTCAGACAGTGTAAGGCTGACTCCTTACCAAACAGGTATCCTACTATTCATGTTTTAGGTTACATGGTTCTTGGCTACTATACTGTCCTATGAGATAAAGATAGATAGATAGATAGATAGATAGATAGATAGATAGATAATTATTATTTCCAAAGAAAGGAATGAGGCTGTGACATGAAACAATGGTTTAAGGTTCTTCATTTCAAAGTTCTTCAACATTTCTTCATATAACCTTGCCTTACCTTTTTAACATATATATAGTAAAAACTACTGAAGATTAACAAACATGCTTAAATTCCTTTTCCTCCATCACAGAAAACTATTTAAGCACATATTCTCTTACTTAATAAACAAAAATACATATATATGAGTTTGTGAACAGTAGTGAATTACAAATATACCTTCTCCCTCATGATGATAGGAAGTAAATGATCTAGTAAATTGAATTCAGCCATGGAAACTGTGAAGGTACATTTGAGAAGAGTAACACTTGTATGTCGAGTAGGAATATATTCTTCTAGAGATGCCAATTCTTCAGGATTCAATATTGTTTCATTTTGATCCTTAATTTCTATAATAAAAATAAAAATATAGTGAAGAATCATGTAACAGATACGTAACATAATTAATTTCATTACATGAAAATATGAATTAACCATTGCCCCAAATAATTAAGGGCAAATTCTCTTCATCAATAATGATGAAGTTGATGCTCGCCCATAATCCAAGCACTCTGCGAAGGTGAGGCAAGAAGATCACAAGGTGAAACCAGGCTGGACAATTTAGAAATTTAGTAACAAAATTTAACTAGTCTCTTACTTTAAAATATCTTTTAGTAAGTTCCCGGGCTAGAGAGATGGCTCAGTAGAATAAGCACTTCCCTGGCAAGCGCAAGGGCCTGAGTTCAATCCTCAGTTCCACAAAAAAAAAAAAAAAACACATCAGAAGTAAGTTCCCAATTTGTTTCTTTAAAAGCTTACTTCCTTTCTGGTAATCAAACTACTACCGATATTAAGTAAAGACAAACCACAGGCTGTAATGAAATTATTTGCCATAGACAGATATACAGACAATAAGGGACAGAGATCAGCACAAGAGACTTGTACCAATAGCATATTTCTAAAACTAAAAACTTCTAAAAAATCATCAGAAAAATCATTCAACTGATAAATAGGAAAAACAAGATAGAATAAGCAAAATATCACATATCCAAATGTGCAAAAATATCAATAAAAAGCTAATCAACAGCATTAGGTATCAGAACTATACACTCGTTAACATGGATTCCAAAATACTGAAAATACTATTTATTGCCAAGCATATATAAGAACACAGGTCAATGAAATTTTTCTATAAAGAGAAATACAGGGCTGGTGAGATGGCTCAGTGGTCTAAAGCACCTACTTAGAACAAGCTTAGCAAAGCACAGGGACCGCGGTTCAATCCTCCAGCACCACGTGCCAGCCAGCCCCACCCCCTGGTGGGCTGAGCTGGACAAACACACACACACACACACACACACACACACTAAATTAAAAAAAGAGAAATACAGAAAATATTTTAGACTTTGTGAGACTTACTGTCACAACAATTCAAATCTGCCATTGTAACATGAAAGAAGCCACAAAAAATATATTGTGCTATAATGATGGCTATGTTCTAATAAAACTTTATTTATGATCACAGAATTAAGTTTTATATAATTTTTATGTGTCACAAAACAAAATTTTTTCCTTTTTTTAACAATTTTATTGAGGAACAAATAGCAATGAGACAATTTCAAAACTGATTCATAGGAGTTTCAATAATTAATACATTGCATATTGTTGTCTCCTTAGTAGTTATTCATAGGACAAGATACAGACACGATATGCTGCCCACAAACACTATCAGTACAAATCTTTCTATTCATTGAATTAAGAGAAAGTAGCTACATATCTATCCGATTTTGAATATACAGATACAAAATGGTCCTTCATTTGTATCCGTTTTTTTTGTTTAGTTTTGTCAGAGATGGTATTCCACTGTCCCAAATTCTCTGATCAAGGAGATTATGGGGTCAAAGAGGAAAGTGATCAACGATGTACAGTATGCCTAAGGAGAGTCACATGGAGAGAAAACATTCTCTCAGGCTTTCACAGAAAGAAAATTGGCCAAGCAATGACCGTGACTCATCCACATGGCTAACACTGACAAAGGATCTACAAACTGTAGTATAAGGTTTCAGGGTAAATCCTGAGGGGATTGAACTGACCTTGGCAGATACAAAAGTTACTTTTCTTGTTATATAGGTCTTGCTTTATCTTGGTCTTAACCATGCAGCAGAAAAGTATAAAAACGAGGCATAAAAAGTAAAGCCATATTAATATGCTGAGCTTTAAAAGGCTCAAGTTAACAGCTTCTGACATTACCAGTCCTACGGAGAACCCACTACTGTTATGGACTACTGGACTATATTGGAATATTTTGCTGAATTCACGTACCTACAATATTTAAATGACAAAATTCTTTCCTTTTAACCATTTTAAATGTAAAAAAGCTATTTTTGACTCATTGGCTATAAAAAATAGTAGCAGATCATACACTGATCTCAAAAGCTACTACACTGCTATTGGCAGGAGTGTAAAGTAATGAAAACACTTAATATAGTTTAAAAGTATGTACTAAAAATAATATGTAATACTTTGACCTCAGAGACTCGTAAGAATCCAACAAAAATACATATATTTATTTACCAAATGACATGACTACAATATCTGTAGCATCACTATCAAAATATTCAAAAACTAGGAACTAATCAAATATTTACCAACACTAAAATAGTACAGTAATATACTCAAGGCAAACAGAATCTTTTAATGTGAGACAAAGACAAGCCAAAGAGCCCACACTGTACCATTCCATATATACAAATTTAAAATAAAATGAAATCTGTGACATAAGAAGAAAAGGTAACATTTACCCTGAGAACAGAATATTTATTAATCAAAAGAGGGTACAATGGGGATTTCGGACTTAGAACTGGTAAGTTTATATTTCTTGGCCAGTTACTTAAATACATGTGATTAAGTCTGCAAAATTCACAGAACTAGTCTATTTGGAATTATATATATTAAGAAAAAGTTAAGAAAAAATGTTAGCAAAACTGCTAACAACTTAAGATCTGCTGAGCAGAGTGGTAGATGTCTGTAATACCAGACCTGGGGTGGCTGAAGCAGGTGGATCACCATGAGATCAAGGCCAGCCTAGGCTAAATAATGAGTTCACGGCCAGCCTAAACTACAAAGAGAGACTCTGCCTCCCAAAAATAAAATAAGTAAGATTTAATACATATGTACTCAGAGAGAGAGAGAGAGAGAGTGAGTCTGTGTGTTTGTGTGTGTAGACAGACCTCTCTGCATGGTGCTGATATGTAAGAATTTCAGTGAACACAGTCACCAGTGAAATATCAACAACTGGGACCAGGGAGATGACTCAGTAGAATAAGCACTTCCCTGGCAAGCACAAGGGTCTGAGTTCAATCCCTATTTCTAAAAAAAAAAAAAGAAGAAGAAGAAGAAGAAGAAGAAGTAATCAACAACTACAGTGTATTAACTGTGAGTAACTGCATAAATTCCTAACTGCTAGTTCTTCAGTCTATAAGTCATTATTTGGGAAATAATAGATGAATATCATGATCAGTGACCTATAACATCATATCTTTCAATTGTAGCATGCTTTGAACACTGGTTACTGAAGATAGAGCATTTAGCTCACAGAAAAACAGCAAAGTCTACAGAAGTGCTGCCTCCTCATACATCTACTTGACAGTTTACTAAAATGAAAAATAGAGAAATGAGGATCAAAGATAAAAGTGCAATGAAGAAACAAAAACACTGGAAGTGAAATTCTAATTAACCCTTAAAAAAAGTGACAGAAGAAACAGCCTGAGTGTACGAATATCAACATCACATCTTTACACAGACTCTATGTACTCACCTACACAAACTTATTAAAAACAAATGTAGATACAATAAAGAAGAACAGTTGCAATAGAAAGGATATGGGTGTCCTAAGGGAAGTGATGCCAAGCCAACTACTTCTTTTTTTTTTTTTCAAAGTTTTATTGATAAACAGATAGCAATGAGACAGTTTCGAATCCAATCGGAAGTACAGTTTCAACAAATAATACACTGCATATATTCTTCTTAGTGGTTAATTGCTGTACACGATGTGGACTTGTGATGCTATTTACAAACACCATTAGAACAAATCATTCTATTCATTAAGAGAATGCAACTATATATCTATCCTAACCACTTGGAATACACAAATACAAAATGGACATTCATCGGTATGCCCCATTTTTTCTAAGTTCCGTTATTGAATATTATAGGTGTGTAAACTCAGCAAAATATTCTAAAAGAGTCCAGTAGCCCATAATAGCATTGGATCCTCTGTTTAACGCAAACTACTTCTTGCCACAGGAACCCTCAGGGGTTTTCAAGATATTAAAAATGAATAGGACGAAATACTAGAATCTTATTCAAACTTAGAAAGCAGTATGACAACTTGTTAACACACAGGAAACATACTCTATGCTACAAAGAAGTAAGAACTGTTCAATCTTTTTTTATTTTTTAAAGCATACAAAATATTAAGAAAACTGCATTAGAAATACAAAATTTCACTAAACTAAGGAATAGGAATTAAACAATGCTGAGTTGTTGTTGCATGATTGTTGCATGTTGCAATACTGCATGATGTTATCTTCAAATTACTTTTTTAAGTTACCAGATATAAATGTGCAAAACTGGTTTTTAAAAAAGTTGTAAGAGGGCTGGAGAGCTAGCTCAGTAGAATGAGTGCTTGCCTCGCAAGTGCAAGGTCCTGAGTTCAATCCCCAGTTCCTCAGCAAAAAAGGAAAAAAAAAAGTTATAAGAAATTAAAAAATAAGAATAAAAAGAGAATTATTTTAAGGATTAACTGTTTCTTTCAAAAGACCAGCAGAAATCAGCAGTACAATTATCTGAACTATCCCGCATATATACATAAATATATTATTTTCCCTCCTTCCAGTTTTTCCTTCCCACTGAACAAATTCTTTCCCCTTCACAGTATCTATTGTACTTTTCAGATTAAATTTATTCTTTCACATTAGTCCTCCCACTAGTCCAAAATACAGTGTTTGTACCGGCGAGTCTGATTTATTTCACTTAACAAAACACTGTCTAGCATATCCTTTTACCTATAAAAGTCATGAATTTATCTTTTTTATAGCTGAGTAATACTCCACTGTGTAAAAATACCGTATCTTTGTTTATCCATTCCTCAGTTGATGAGCATTTGAGTTGTTTCCAAGATTTAGCTTTGACAAATTCTGCTGCTATAAACATGGGTGTACATATATCACTGTGTTATGATGATTTCAGTTCTTTTGGAAAAATACCTAGGTGGGGAATAGCTGGCTTGAATGTGACCTCTAATCCTAGCATTTGAGGACTCTCCATACTGATTTCCATAATGAGAACCATTCAATCTTAAATATTTGTTTACATACATTAAATTTCAAAATTTATAATTTCTTTTACTTTTTATCATTTTTCTATAAGTAAGAGAGCTTATAATATTTTTACAGAAATTTCTAAGGGCTTTGGAACAATATTAATTTTTCACACTATTAAAGATCACTTTGCATGATAATTATTTTCTTAAACCACTATGTATCATCAGAATTGCCTACATATTAAACTACTGTTAGCTAGCAAGTATATATCACATATTTTAGATTACCAATTGCTTCAAATAAAAATTTATTTTATTATTTTTTCAGAGATCACAAATTTCCCTGGAGGATTTATTGTATCCTCTTTCATTTAGCAATAAAACTCTCAGATTTTTAAGTCATAGATATAGACTTCTAGATATTACCTTACCATGTCACTACTTTGGTAAAATAAGATGACAGAGACATATCCTTAAAACGAAAACTCGTATCTACACTGCTTTTCCCTGTTCTCATTCTTGCTAATAAAAATTATATATTGTAAGGGCAAGAAAACATTAATTACTACTCTAAATTCAGGCTATTTTTAGTTTGAAGTTAAAATAGTGATTACTAGAAGAGGCTGGTACATAGTAGGAGGTTGGATGGCAGGCACCAAAACAATAATAAAAGAAAGAAATTTTGATGTTTCAGAGAAGGACAGCTCTTGTTCAGAATGATCTAATATATATTTAATGAAGATTTAGAAGGAATTTAAAGGCTCTACAAATAATGAGGGGAATGAAACGTTAACTTATCCAGATGTGCTGAGATATCATAAGACAAACACAGAAGACACTTTGACAAAGGTGTCAAATAGTCAATAAAGGGTAACCATTTCAAAAATGATACTTGTTGCAACATGAAAAGCAATCTAAAACATATAAATCTCTAAGCAGCACTCCTTATCAAAAAACAAGTATACTCAAAGGAATTAACAGATTTCCATATAAAATTAAAAATGGGAAAAGTTTAATAAGAAACAATCTAACTAGAAAATGAGTAAAAAAAGAAAAAAGAAAAAGAAAAAGAAGAACATGAAGAGATAGTTCATTAAGGGCAAATGAAAACAAAAAAAAAAATTAATGGCAAACAAGCACATGACATGAGCCAATAAAATGTAAAAGGTACAAAGGACTGCTAATTAAAACCTGGGAATGTAAGGGTCAGCGAGATAGCTCAGCAGATTAACTGCCTGCTTAGGCAAGTGCAGGGACCAGGGTTCGATCCCCAGTACCAAATGCCACGCCAGCACCGCCTCAGGATGCACCGAGCCAGTGACAGAGTCTGGGAATGGTGGCACACACCTGTAATACCAGCACTGGGGAGGTTGAAAACAGAAGGATCACTATGAGTCCAACCTGCGTGGTGAAACCCTGTACTAAATCAATCAATCAATCAATCAATCAATCAATCAATCCAGGGAACTACCAGGAGGTTCGAGGCTAGCCTTGGCTATACAGGAAGTTTAAGGCCAGCCTGAATTACATGGTGAGACTCTATCTCAAGAAACAAAAACTACAGAACTTTCAGAATGGCTATAATTTTTTCAAAGTGACAACATCAAATGCTAAAAGGATGTAAAGCAACTGGTTCATTCATTCATTGCTAGTGGAAATGCAAAACGGTACTACTATTCCTGAAAAGTTTGGCAAATTCTTTTTAAAAATTAAACATATCATCACAATATGACCTAGCAATTGCATACTTGGATATTCATCCCAAAGAAATAAAATTTATGCTTAAACAGAAAATGGTAAACAATTGTTTGAAGCAGCTTTATTTGTAATAGCTAGACCTATTCCAAATGTTCTTCAACATTCGTTTTCACAAACCATAGGAAATACATATAATCAAACACTCTCAACAATAAAAACAAAAAACTTCTCATACATGCAACAATGTAAATAAATCTCCAGAAAATTATGCTTAGTTTAGCAAAATAAGTCTATCCCAAAAGGTTACATATACTGAATAATACCACTTATATAATATTTTTGAAGTGACAAGTTTTTTTTTAAATGGGAGACATCGATGTTTCAAAGAGCTAAGGATAAGAAATAGAGAGGGGCAAAGGAAGATTCACTAGGTTGTAAGATGACGTAAATGAGGCAGCTCTATGGTGAAATTATTTGTTTTGACAGTAAGACGTAAATGAGGCAGCTCTATGGTGAAATTATTTGTTTTGACCGCAAGACGTAAATGAGGCACCTCTATGGTGAAATTATTTATTTTGACTGTGGTAAAAGACAAACAAATCTACACAGGTAAAAAAAATTATACAAAACAAACTACAAAAACACAAAAATTAGTACAAGTAAAACTGGGAAAACCAAAATTAAAACAATGTTTAACAACTATAATAATTACCTTTCAAATAGAAAACATCTGATTGTGATGGCACATACTTAAAATCCCTGAACACTGGATTACTGAGGTAGATTTCCCATCACATTTAGAAAAAATCAAATGTCCTTGGTCCCTGTTATGGTTTGTGTGCATTTGTCCCCCCAAAGCCTCATGCAGTCATTGAGATGTAGTTCTACAGTTCGTGATTAATTCATGGCTGGGAATTACGGGTCTGAGTACTTCTGGGATTATGGGTGTGAGTGCTACACCCACCCTGGGGCAGACAGCCTAAATGCAACACAAGACAGGCAGAGAGACAGACTTGCTCTGTTGCCATTGTTGCTGTTACTCCTCCCTTTTGCTCTTGCTGTTTTGCTGCCTTCTGCCACCATGAACTGCTGCCCTCTGCCATGTGCCACTCTGCCATGGAGCCAGCCAAGTATGGACTGAAACCTCCATTAACTGTGAGCTAAATAAACCTTTCCTTCTTTCATTTTGAGTGTCTGGTATTTGTCCCAGCAACAAGAGAAGAGTAACTGAGACAGTCCCCAAAGCCTGACAGTGATTTATGTCTAGTTCTCTGACTTAGGAACATTTACTGTACTCCAGTTACATTAGCCATCATGTACCTGTCTAAATAAAACTCTATGTTCACAGTAGTTACTCGTAGGGAAACTCTCCAGATATGACTTTCCAAATCTCCCTACATAAAATAGCTTTCCTCCTCTCCATCTAGGACTCTTCTTTAACTTTCTTCTCATAGCACTTATCAATTTCTAAAATAATATCTTTATTTATTTACTATTTATCTACCCTACTAGGATATAAGGACATCCGCTTTGTATCTTATTTGTTAGCACATAGAATATCTGGCATGATGTTTAACCAAGGTAACAAATGCATGAACATTGCAAGTACTTATTATGTACTAGTCACTATATTAAGTGTTTTCTTATGCCCAGAGATTTCTTTAGTTTTCACTACAATCCTGGCAAGATGGTTCTATATCACGCAGTGTTACAGTGATGTTACCATACAAAAGGGAAACAGAAGCTTCAACAAAAACAGAAGTTTCTTTTGACATAATAATCTCAGTAGACTAGATCTGACATGGTACTACCACAGTACTGTGGCCATAGGGGAGTGATGGCAAACCTTTTAGAGACAAGTGTTCAAACCATAACCCAAAACCAACTTACTTATTGAAAAGGACAACACTCCAATTAAATCTGAAAACTTGAGTTTTAGGTTAGAAAAAACAATGGTTTGCCGTAAAAAGAAGCCAAATAACACAAGTCATAAGTCCACCACTACTGCCTTACATTGGTTTTTTTGTTGTTGTTGCTGCTGCTGCTGCTGCTGTTGCTGCCTATCCATGAACAGGGGATATATCTGTATTTTCTTTTTGGACAATACTTCTTTATTTCCAGGAATTGAACTCATGACCCTGCACCTGCTTATTCTACTGAGCTATCTCCCCAGCCCCTGCCCTACATCCTCTTTGCCATACTATACTTCTGTGTTATCCTGAGCATGTAGCTTTTGGCCCAGAGTCTAAAATGCCAGCTCCACATCCTGTCTTTATACACACTTGCCAGACAGAGGAAAGAGAAAAGTTAAAGATGTTCATTCTTTGGCTTAAAGTCATGATCCAACCCTCCTAACCAAGTTCAATCCCATAATAACAGCTGGAACACAGGTACATTAATATATATATATTTTTTTTAAAAAAAGACATAATAGGAAAAAATAAGGTACTGTAACCCTCTACAATGCATCTAAAAATGTACCTTAACTCAGTATACCTACCTTAAATGTTCTATATGCTTTTGTCCAATACTCTGGTTTTCAATCTGTATATATGATAATTAACTTTATAAGCTATTACAATGAATCTGATGCTAAAAAATAAAAACAGTGTGGGAAAGGAAAAAGAAATTGAAATGTTCTGTGCATCTATCAATTCCCTACAGTGAATATAATTATGTAAACACATACTAATAAAAGTCAAAAAGATTATATTATTGTAAACTAAAAGAATGGATATTAGGAAGAGAATTAGCTATCTCCGTCATTAGACACAGTATTTAAATAGTAAAATGGAAGATAAGAAATGTTAATCAAGTTTCCCAAGAAGTGTAAGTTAAAGATTTCAAATCAAATCTGACTCCAAAGACTGAGCTCTTAAATACTATCCTATATTTCCTCCTAATGCTATTAAGTTCTACTGTACTCAGTATTTTACTGCATTAAAAAAGAACTTGTACTTTACAAATTGTGATAACAATTACCTTTACACCACATAGAAAAATTAGTTGTACAGTAAATTCCTTTTTACCTATAGTTCTAAGTTTTCTTGAATGTTAAATTTGTATATTTAGAGGCAATCTTCATATCCAACTCTGAAGAACACACCAGTGTGGAAAAATGGTCATATTACACAAATATACACTAGAAAGGGCTCAAAGAGTATCACAATGAAATGTGGACAAATATTTTTCAAATAAAGTACTTCTGCAAATAGTTGCCAAGTCTTGATCTCTCTTAGCACTTCTACACAAAAATTCCTTCTCTAAATTGAATACTTAAAAAACCTTACAGGAAAAATATAAGGAAAAAAGAAATTACCAAAACAAAATGAATTGTACAATCATTCAAATCAACTATCAATAATCCAGAATTAAGTCAAAAACAAACCTGATTTTAGCCTACTATAAGGCTCATATTCATGCTCCAAGGCGCAAACAATCATTTTCAAAATCCTATGTACTGCACTGCTGTCCAAGCGAAAATCAAGCGGACCTAGAACAAGGGTTTTTGTAGACTTCTCTTGAACTGTTCCCCAATCTTCATTTTTCCCTGAAGAAAAGTCTTGTTGATTTGCAGAACCTTCAGAAAGTCAAAATTTACATTAGTATTTTGAGCATCAATCATATATCAAATCAGATTTTAATATTATGCTTCTCTTTTATCTTTTAAAAAAAAATTTTCCATCAGCTAGATACAAAGAACCTGAAGATATGCATTTTTTTCTATGAAGATGTTACTGACAAAAATAATTGTTTCAAAAACAATGATTCCTGTTATCTAATATTATAACAAGTGGTATAAAACCAAAATGATCATTCTTAACAAAATGATTATCCTATAAAACCTAATGTGCTAAAAACCAGTAATTCTATATACAATGTCACTCTGATGAATGGGAAGGGAAACTTAAAGAGGAACTACATTTTAGTACTAATTTATCTTAGATGGTGCACTGAACATTGTTTTAAGTATACATTTACATGGTGCCTTGAGTGTTTGTTTTATAAAGAACACCAAAATAATAGGTATCACCTGCTTTGAACTTTTTTCCACAATAAGATTACTTCGTGTAGAATTCTAGATCCTTGATCTCTTGACTGCCCACATACTGCAGGACCAGAACTATTTTCTAAAGATAATTTTAGATTTACCCACAGGTGGTTCTCATTACCTATTAAGTATATTTACGGTATTAGAGATTTGGTTTTAAAACATAAATCCATTACTATATGTTGCTAACATACAATATTTTTAATTCTTCAGCCATTTTGTTTATTCAAACAAAAAGTAGAAAGTAGGGTTGAAAAAGTAAAAAAGCAAGGTTGTTACTTTTTGTTTCAAACTAAAAGCACTAAAATTCACAGGATATTTTTGGCTACTCAGAGAAACAAAAAATATAAAATTTTCAAAAATTAAACTACCAGTTTCTGAGAAATACATAAATAATATTTTCTCACTATTTCTGTAAGTATAACTTTGTAATATCTAATGATGATATTCCTCATGGGAGCTGATACATGTACATGGTGCATCTAAATTCTTTTTTTCACCTGCTTCCCCTCTCCTCCCTATATCTGTTGAATCCTTTCCCATTCACAAAATATCTGTTTCCAGCTCTCCATCTTTTATTTTGAACCATATGTTGGGTTTCTCATGTAAGAAAAATGAGGCAATATGTAAGCTTGTATGTTTCTTTCACTTGACGTGGTCTCAAGATACATCCGTCTTTCTACAAATGACTCATTTTATGCTCCTTTATGTCTAAGCAATACTCCATTGTGTAAAACATATTTCTTTATCCATTTATCTACTGATGGACATATAAGGAGCTTCCAAGATTTATCTATTATGAATATTACTGCTATAAACATGGAGATACATCTATCATTATAATTTATCTTTAACTCTTTTAGGAATATACCTACAAGGGAAATAGATGTGTCAAATGTAATTAGTAGTTTTAGTTTTTGAGGAATTGCATACTAATTCCCATACTGATTGTACTAGTCTACATTCCCACCAACAAAAACTGTAAAAAGGTTTCTTTATCACCCCAGAGCATCAACAACACTTGTCATTATTTTATTTTTTGATGACAGTCATTTTTTTCTGGAGTAAGATGAAATCTCAGTAGTTTTAATTTGTATTTCTCTAATCACCAGTAATGTTGGATATTTTTTCATGTATTTATTGAACTTCTGAGAAGTATTTACTTTCTTCAGTTGACATTTTTTTTTTGATTAGGTCTTTTATTGGGGGAGCTAATTTTTTTCAGTTCTTTATGCATTCTAGATATTACTCCCTTGTCTGAAAACTACTAGCAATTTCTTTTCCCCATTTTGTAGGTTGTGTTTTCACTCCACTGCCTATTTCCTTTGCTATGCAGAAGCTATTTAATTAAATATGATCGCCCCCTTGTCTTTGGTTTTACCTCGTTGATCTTCCAGCAGCTCATAATTCTATCTTGTATAAAATATAGCAGAAACACATATACAAATCACAGGGTACCAATAAAATTTTGATAAAATTGCAAGACTGGAGACTGCCCGGGGCTACAAGATCCTGAATAGTCCCAGAGCGCAGGCCTGGTGAAGTGAGTGAGACTGCCCGGGGTCACAGGATCCTGAATAGACCCAGAGCACAGGCTCAGCAAGTGAGTGAGACGACCCAGGGCCCAGGCCTGGCATGTGAGTGAGACCACCCAGGGACCATGGATCTTCATTCGACCCAGAGTGCAGGCCCAGAGGAACCCTTCAGCAGAACTCCCTGCAAAGAGGCTAGACGTAAGACCCACCCAGCTGATTCAGGAGCAGAACATCTTGCCAGAGAGACACAAAGGGTTCAACTCTAACGGCTGCAGCAGAAAGAAGTGGAGCACAGCAACCAGATCCAAACAACACCCACCTGGAAGAATCTGAACTTCGTAAATCCGGACCTGGTGCTAAGATAATAACTCTATCTAAGCTCTACACCAAAGGAGACAGTGGTATACAAAATGACAAACAGAAGGAACAAAATGCAGTCTCAGGCCCTGAGTCCACCCAGTACAATTGCAGAAGACATTAGCACTGAGGAAACTGGAAATCACATACCAGATATCTCTGAAATAATAGCATTGGCAGTAAAGAAACAACTGCAGAAAGGTATAGAAGAAATCAGATCAGAAATAATTTCGGAACTAAAAAATGTGGTGATAACTATAATCAAAGAAGTACTAAGTGCTTCTAAAGAATACACTGATAAAAAAATAGAGCAGAATATAAAAATGATGGAACCCCTGA